GGACCGCCTGGCACCCCGACTTGGTACCTCCGTCATTGCTGCTCCTAGTAATCCTTAAGTACCATAAGCGCCGCACCAGACACCATAACCACCATAAACCCACAAACCGCCGCAGCTTGGTTGGGGTCTCGCTGTCCTCTCCCACCCTGGACCCAAGACCAGGAAACAGCTTCTAGTGGGTAGACCTCTCCTAGTCCAGAGAGCGAAGGAGGCTGCTCTTACAAGAGCAATCATTGTGATCCACGTGAGTATAGTGATTATAGCAATCCCCAGAGTGAATATAGCTCTTCAGTCCCCCAAACATGAGCCTAGACTTCATGAAGGGTAAAACAAATCTTATTTAATGGCACTTACAACTGGCCTGAAACGCGGGTCACCATGCCCAGGGCACTCCCATACATAATCAGATAATCTCTCCTCTGATCCTGGGAGATAATTGGATCAGGAACTGTACTTATCTAATCCAATTATCTCCAAGCCCAGAAAAAAACATACTTTTTCCCAAACACCCCAAAAGTACCCTAAAAATACATCCCCCGATAGCCCTGATCTGGGTGACCAACATATCAAAAAATTACCCAGATCAGTTCAGGGGTTCAGGAATTTCCTGGAAGTCATTTGTTTGACAAACTCCAGGGTGGTCTCCAGTTCGTGTGGCTGTTTGGTTCCAGGACCAAATGTAAAATCCCACAAACCAAGTCTGTTCACATAGTTTTTTTTAAAGGGCCTATAATCTTTTGGTAAGAAGCTGGCCAGCAGGCCCCTCCAAGAACACGTGACAAGTCTTAGTTCATCACAATTTTCATTACACATTGGCAGCAGGTTTAGTATTCAGCATGAGTCAGGCACAGACTTATACATTCACTGCATCCCCTGACATAATAATGGAAGATAACAAGTAGCTCACCTTTAACAATTTCTACTTGGTAGAGGAAGCCACAGAGTTCAATATTCCTCACCCTTAATGTTAACCTTGTCATGATCGAAAGTACAAAAACTAATTGCCTTTAGAAGAGAATTACAAATACATGAGCTGTACTTCTTTAGAAAGTAGATTCTAACCCTATCAGCAAATAATTCTGCCGTGCATACTTTAAATGTCCATCTTTACTATAAATTATTTATGTTGCAATTTTAAAAAGACAGTTATAATTGAGGCCATTTTATGCTGGGCAAGACCTGAGTAATGAACAGAAGATTATAATTTTTTTTTCATTTGTTCAATCTGTCTTCATAGTAATATTACAATTTACAGAGTTGGTTTGAGCATTGCCCTATACACAGAATTCTCTTACCCAGACATATGAAACCATGATTGTATATATACGAGTATTGATGGGAGAAAAACTCTTAATCTCAGGCAATGATCAAGCCAACTCGGTGACTAACAAGATTCATATCAAGAAAGATTGAATTATACAGGACATAAGAAACTCAATAAAAACATTTGGTTCATTACACGGGTCTAGACTCACATGAACTGTCTTTAATTTAAACTGTCTTTAATATATACACATCCATTCAAGAAGAGCAAATATATATAATACCTTGATTCTTCCATTGAGTCTGGCAGAAGAGAGTGTATAAAGTGCAGTAATAATGACATTATTTTTATTTATTTTATCCATGCTTTTTTGTTGCACGGTGTAGTTTAAAACGTGCGCTACACGACTTTCGCTAATCCCTAACTATCCACCTAGATCAGAATAACATTTTCTTCTATAAAAACGAAGCTTATATTTGTATTTGCCTTTATCCAGTGCTATTTTCTAACGTATAGTTATGTTTCAAACAAACAATCTTCCTAACGGCCTGCTTTTTGTGTGTGGGGTTTTAGAACAAACAGCTTTATTTTTACTATTGTATGATTGCCCGCAGAGCACATTTACAGAAGCTTATTACTTAAATCCAATTATATATATAAAGTTAGCATACCATTAGTTGCTTGCAATCTGTGTATCTTACCACCCAGCGTGCCGAGGAAAAGTGTTTTTTCAAGATTGTCCCTAATGAATCATTTTACAGGATGGTAAGCAGATTTTTTTTTTTTTATCTGTGTACATATAAAATATAACTTGTCTGAATAGTGAAGGAAATCACCTAAACACACACAATGAATGTGTCTTTGAGTTTCCACGGTATATATCGTTCAATTGAAAACTGCTGCAGGCAATTCTGTCATCTGCTGATTATGTCATATGGAGACTGTCACTAAATTCAAAGAAAAATCAAAACATGTTTTTTTCATAGCTCGTTATTTTTAATCCACATTACAATATGCAACTTTATTAGTCGTTTTATTACTATTTGTCATTTGGCTCTCCAGCTGATTTCTGGGAATTGTAGTCCAGCAAACACTGTAGGGCAAGCATGTCAAACTCAAAGGCTAACACGGGCCAAATAAACAAGGTTTAAGTTTATGTGGACCACAAAAAAACTAAAACTTCAGTTTTTATAGAAACGTAGGTTTATTTAGAAAAGTACTGTATAAAAAGAGTTGCCTAACTGATACTGGACGTCCTCACACTCGTAGGGCTTCAAAGTAAACAAAAGAACAAATTGATTTTAGGAGACGTGCATTTGCAAATAACCAAAGTTTCAGTCCAACTACCCTGATATATTAAGAAATGTTTGGTAATGGGACTGAAATGAGGAATGTATGCTGTTGCAAAGCTGTAAGAAACAAATGATGTTATCTTGTTGATTTTGAAGTCCTATGAGTCCTTCACTTTGGCTGAGATCATCAAACTTGATGATCTCAACCAATCCAATGCTTTCCAGTAGGAAAGCATTTCGTGGCTATTGTTCCAGTATTGTCCTAATAAATATAGCTATTTCAGTAATCAATGTGCTGCTTATTGTATGAAATACCCCAATGTGTCTGACGCTCTGAATGTCTGTGTTCGAATATCCATTGATGGAATAACCTGGTCATTCAGTATATTTAGGTAGTCAGCTGACCTCATTCTTTTGGCACATGAACCTAGACCTGACCATCTGCAGCAATCCCAGATCATAGCATTGCCCCCACAGACTTGTACAGTAGGCACTAGGCATGATGGGTGCATCACTTCATCTGCCTCTCTTCTTACCCTGATGTGCCCATCACTGGTAGTTCCCCACTATCCTTCCAGTTTTTATTAGTGCGTTGGACAGTTCTTAACCCAATTTTAGTAGTTTCTGCAATCTCCTTAGATGTTTTCTCTGCTTAATGCATGCCAATGATGTGACCCTTTTGAAACAGACTAATATCTTTTCCACGACCACAGGATGTTTCTTTCAACATGGTTGTTTAAGAAATGAGAAGCTACTCATTGCATCAGTTGGGGTTAAATAACTTGTTGCCAGCTGAAAGATAATCACCCATGTAGTAACTATCCAATAGGAGTCCCTTACCTATTTGCTTAGTTAAACCCAGGTGGTGACTTTTTTTGGGCCAGTCAGTGTATATCTGGAGAGTTTGACACAAACTGAGGGTTCCCTGGATTGCGCCAGTTTCCTGGCTAAGCATATTGTTGTAACAGAAGTTATATTTCTGCATTACACAAAAAAAAAGTATAGTGGTAAAATGTGGAGCTATAATGTCAAAATCAGTAGTGGTGCTGATACCACCGTCAAACCAACCACACAATTTCACACAATACATAAACAGAATAATTTTACCTCTAATCTCTGCCTATTATCTCCCCCCTGAATACTGGGGAGGAATACAGCAACTGAGAGACCTCATCTTTATATCCTACTCATGCCCATATACCTGAGCCAGTTTGTTTACAGGCTCGTGAAATTGTGAGTAGGATACCACTATATTGTATATATATTTTGGATTGGCGATACAAAACATACTATATTGCCTTATGTGAGCTTTTCTTTTGTAGAAATACTATTGGAAAAAGTTCCTCTAAAAAGTTACCTTGTATATATACAAACTCCCACATTGTACACTGAAGTGCTATCACTCTGCACTTTGATTTAAAGTGCGCTATCCACTTTGTATCTATTTTCATATTTCTGCATTAGTAATATCATTTTTTCTGAGTTCAGAAACCATTTAATGTTTGTGTCGGTTGACTTTTACAACCACTGAATTCCATCTAAACATGGGCAGAATTTATATAGCTAACGAGAAACTTGAACTTCTACGAAAGCTATATGCTGAGCTATGGGACTGGCGCCTGCTTGGAAATGGCTGGATATAGGGCCAGGGGCATGCTGGTATTATAACCATTTCAGTGTGCTGTAATAGTTATGGTGTTTGATAACCGAATTGCAAAACGTAGCCGAAAATACCCAAGTACTGGTAAGGAAGCATTTTCAAATCTACAATTTGTGCCGTCAATTTGCAATTTGGTTTTTAATCCATCCCCATTTGTGTGTTTAGTGAATACATTCCTAACAGATTCACTGTATCTATCCTAGACTGTTGTTTGAATTGTGTTAGCACCTCCTGCACTTTTACCAGCATCCGCACTGAAACAGTTAAATCATTTATTTCTTGTAAGGGAATAAATATGAACTTATTAGCATAAAGATATTTCAAGAGAAAACTCATTTGCAGAAAACAAAGGCTCTTCCAATGGGTCACTTATTAACTCAAACATGAATATAGAACTTTGTGACCTATATTGCTAAACCAATACACTTCTATAGATTTCCTTCTTGTGGGGACTAGTTTATAATTACCATGAGTTTGCTTTGCATAATAAAGCGAAATGAAGAATCTTTTCAATAATTTACTTAACAACTTTGAAGGAGGTATAATCAATTATTGATTCCGGTATAAGAAACAGTCGCCTAGAAATGCCAGTTTCTCTTTCTGATTTTCTGATGCCGTTTGATTTCAGGTGAAATTAGAGCATGTTTTAAATGGAAACTGAATTGTCAGATTTAATAAATGCATTTAGGTTACTTCCTGCAAATACAGAAAAAAACAGCAACAACAGTAAAATAGTCTCTATATATATACATACATAAATATGTGCCGTTCTGAACACACAATCAGAAATGTATATTCAGTGATTGATTTTATTATTTAGCATTCTATGTTTCTATAAACTACCACAACAAGAGGACATAGTCTTAAATTAGAGGGACAAAGGTTTAAAAATAATATCAGGAAGTATTACGTTACTGAGAGGGTAGTGGATGCATGGAATAGCCTTCCAGCTGAAGTGGTAGAGGTTAACACAGTAAAGGAGTTTAAGCATGCGTGGGATAGGCATAAGGCTATCCTAACTATAAGATAAGGCCAGGGACTAATGAAAGTATTTAGAAAATTGGGCAGACTAGATGGGCCGAATGGTTCTTATCTGCCATCACATTCTATGTTTCTATAAACATAAAAAGCATTTATAGGGCAGATACATTCAGCTGTGTTGTATAACTGATAAAATGGAAAGCAGTACAATTTAGTAACATTTTCTATTGACTGGTGTTCTTAAAGGAACACTGATTTTGAAAATAAATATATTTATTTTTTATGTTAATGGTGCTCCTTTTTAGTTTTAGTTTAGCACCTCCCTCATAATAATAAAAGAAAAATAATTATTGCAGGGGCAGTATTTTACCATTACGGGGACAATCTCCCCAACACATCCTAGTCCCCCTACACTGAGATCATTGCAATTGATGATCCTGGATCCAGGTCAATGGTTTTCATAGAGAAGCATTGGGGTCCTACAGCTTGGTAATTGCCACACTCTGAAAACTTCAGTATTTCTATTTCCAATACTTATCTTGATATCAGCACTTCTAGAAATGTATGGAACAGTTTAGCATTGTGTATTCCTATCATTATAGTGCCGTAGTCATGAATAGTTAACCCATCCCCGGTGAGGATTAAAAGTTAACTCCTAAAGACTTAGCTTACCTTACATCTTACACCACGTGTCTCTACCCGCAGCTGGCCCTGCCTCCTTGACTGAGATCTTCTCAACCAATTCAATGCTTACAGTAGGCTTGTGTGCATGCATTGAAAATGCTGTGCTGGGCCAATCAAATGGTCTCTGAGACCACCTAATAGTTTACTCTACTATTTTGCCCCTCTTGTGGCTATGTGTCAGTATGACAGCCACTTGAGGCAAGTTAACCCTGCAAAGAGAACAAAGACATTCCTGTTGCATGACAATGTTTTCAGTGTCAGGGTTAAGGTGAGGTTCAGAATACGGCACCCAGAACACTTTATTGAAATGAAGTGGTCTGGTTGCCTCTAGTGACCTTTTAAGATAAATGGGACCTCCAGTTTATCCTTAAATCCCTGGTGCACTCCTTTAAATAATTAAAATATGTAGCCAGGCATATATTGCAGGTGTTAGAAAGAAAGGTTTATTCAAGGATATTGAACATCACAAGATTTATTCAAGCATATTCAAACACAGACATTCAGAGCGTCAGACACAGTGGGGTATTTCATACCATAGGCAGCACATTGATTACTGAAATAGCTATATTTATTAGGTCAATACTGATGCAATTCTGCAACAAAGTGTTAACACTGCTATAGAACCCAAACAAATGTTTTAACTGATTGCTACAAATTTAGCAAATATGCATTAAAATGCCCCTATTGTACATGAATAAACTGGACTTACAACGTGCATTGTTTGATTTCATGCTAATAGCATTGATAACTACATGGCACCCCCAGTGTTTGTAAACTATATTGCCTTTGATGCCAACAATAAATAATCTGAAGGAAGAGGGAGTCCGCACTTCTCATTTAGTAATTCTAGGTGCAGAATTGGACCAGAGGCTGGCGACCCCCATACATAAGTAGGAAAAGCACTATGATCCTGGCACTCATGCTACATAAATTCAGAACATTCCAAGCTTGACAAAGACCTCATTGGTAGTTAAAACGTTGCTCTTCATGTGTGTGCGCTGTGTATTATGTTATGGATGTGTATGTATGGGACTGCTTGTGTGATTGCGTGTGTGTGTGATATGTTGTATTGTGCAAAGTAAAACCAACTTTAACCAGTAATAACAGTAAACCATTCAAAATGTATGGACTTAACACCTAAACTCCTACTTCATGTGCAAATAGTGCAAACAATAAAATATTTAAATTTTTATCTAAAGTGCTCCAATATTTTCATCATCTATAGAACAATAGTCTATAGAGCATACTGTATTTAATTTATTTATAAAATATTTTACCAGGAAAGATACATTGAGATTTCTCTCATTTTCAAGTATGTCCTGGGTATTTAAAAAAAGGAATATTAAAATGATGCATCCCACCCCACTCGAGTGGTCTGCAAAATGAGTAAAACAGAAATGAGAACACAATAGTGTTATATCTTTGATTTATTCAACACACTTAAAAAATTAAAAAATGCTTACACTAGATTGTGGTAAGTTCATCTAAAAATGAAACTCATGAAAATCGCAAGACGCTGGTTTACAGATATTCAGCATAGACTGTCAGATAGTCAGCATAGATTGTTGTAACTCCAATCATGTGGTGTGTCTGTGGACCCACCACCTACTCTACAGAATTTACTTTCTAGATCACTTTTAGAACAATTTAATAAAAATGATAACTGACCAAATAATGACCAAATTTGTCACTTTGTAGAACACTTTGATAAATATCTCCTTTTGTGCTCAAACTATAAAACACTGCTAATCATATAAAGGTATCTCAAATTTAATTATATTAATCATTGCAATGCATTTATGTGCACATATGCATTTTTTCAGTTTCATGTATATTTTATAAATCATCTGTTTCTTTTTCTAAAATATGTTTTGGTTATTTTAAATTCTTGATTTTCCCTGAAACGCTTTTTAGATACACTGTGAAAAATAAATTGTCACCTAGCCCTGGGCTTTCTGTGGTCTTCATACGCGTCTAGGATGAGTTTACCTATTGCTATGAGGATTTATAGGGCAGTTGGTTGACTCAACATGACAAGCGCCCTACTAAAATACTTAAATACACAAGCATTTTCATAGGTATGCCTGTTTGTCTACAGCTAGTCCAGGGGCTATGTGGTGCTAACCCGGGGCAACAATATGTAAGGTACTTAGAAGCCATATGACTCATCTTATCAAGACTATTATGACATCACTGGATTTCCCTGTTTACTGTAACATAGGTGCAAATCTAGCATGTGAATGTAAGATGAATTTGTATTTTTTTCTGTATAGATTGCTGCCTAGATGACTATATGTTTTAAAAAAGAGCAGGACTACTTTGGAGTATTAAAAAGGTTTAAGGAGTTCTTTGAAAATGCTAATACTTTCTGAAAATTCAATATGCTTCAACCAAAATTTTAATTTAACATAATTAATTTAATTAACTTAATTGCAGAGTTCTGAAAATACTGTTAACCCATTTTCTCCCAACTGTCTATGCATTTGTGAACTAAATTTAATTTCACCTAGGGTACAATAACAGAGAGTCTCATGGACACCAGAAGTCTTCCTTTAACATTGATGATAAAGTTCACAGGATATCAATGGTGATGTGTTTGGGCATTTCTCACTGAAGAGTAGAGTAGTAAATAGGAAGGGAATTCTGTCTAGACTCATTCATTTATTTAGTATCAGCTAATTTTGCAATACCTGCATCTGCAGCTCTTCTGACCTGCCAAGGTGTCTGCCCACCAGATGGATGAGTTACACAAGATTACTTTTAGACTGCTTCCTTAACTTTACCCCCGAAACAGGCTGAGCCTCCCCAAACCCAATCTGGAGATCTTGAGTTATGTTCTGCGTTGACTACCACCATATTTAATCTAGCCACTGGGGGGAGTCATTTCCCCCTGCCGAGCCTCTAAACTAGGCGAAACGCGCATTGGGTCGACACTCTCTTAACACTTTCCCGATACCCACATTTGCATACCTTCTCTCTTTTCTCTACGGTACCCTTGCTGCGGTCTAGACCTTATAGCCCACCAAAATCTAGTGATCATATAGGGTTACTCTAGAATTTGGCTGATTGATAGCCACTTTAAGTCATTGGGAAGCAACATGCCAATCGTGGCCTTGTTTTCAGCTCAGCTAAATTGGTATAATACTTTATCAGCACTAACTTTTTAGTTCTACGCTCTGCAAAGTCTCTTTCTCTCTTCACCTATTACTTTACTGTTAAAGGTGTCCATGAAGGCACTGTTCTTATTTATCTGATTTTTCTATATCTATCGGCACCTTCTACTTAGTTATTTAGTCACTCCACAGGTCCATTATGTCATATTAATTATGGCACCTTCTATTAAGAAAATCAGCAACTTATATTCTACACTGGTTCTATATCGCTCTGCATTAGGCTCTTGATTGTGAACCAAACGTTACTAAGTATCATATTATACATTGGACCTGTTTAGAGATATATTCTTGCAACAAATTTAGCAAGCCGATTCTTATTTATCTGTAGCCATCCTCCTGTCATCCTCCACTCCACTTATCCCCTATATGTATGTCCCCCTGCATAAACTACCGTTATTGCTTCTGTCTGAGTCAGACAGTTATTTAAAGGGGCTGTGTGTCTATAGTTACCTTTTTTGGTATTAATCAAGTAGCTTCGAGATTTTTAAGTACACTTTCAACTATAGGGACAGATTCCTCTCTTATTTTTGTTTCTACTGCCAAACTGTGACAAAATGAAAATGACAAGAAACCAAAAAAAAAATTAAAAGATAATAAAGGGGATTGAAAGCTGCTTTCGTCTTCAGAAGCATGTCAGCACATTTTAGAAATCCAATCTTGAAACAATTTTGCCATGCTGCAACCCAGCCACATGTGCCGGCAGCTTTGACCACCTTCCTATGAGGGCAAGAGTTAATTTTATGTTACTATAAAGACATCAATCAGATTAGATGTGGGTCCTTATTGCCCATTGAAATCTGTGTTTTTTAACTTCTGCAAATCAGAAGTCAAGGGTAATAGTGAGAAAGTGAGAGTTAGATTTATTATTCACTAAGGAAAGAAAGATAATGATGTTCTCAAGTCCCTTAGTCAAACATATCTTAACACCGGGGAGCTTTACATGCACACAACCTATGTCATCGTCCTCTTGTATCCACTCTTCTCAGTCACAGTATGTGAACCTAGGTGCCTTTGGTATACGTACATTTCCTGAATTAGAACACATGGGAGAATTTATCAGAGATAAACAGGTGCCATTTTAAGTGTGGAGTGTGAAATGTTCAGAGATATTTTCTTGGTTTCTGTAATTTTGCCCCAGAATTGCACCTGTTTTGCT